CCCCAAAACCCCAAAACCCCAAAACCCCAAATGCATTTTTTTAAAAAATGGTAGAGATTAAAAAAGTTTAAATTAAAATCTTGATCTGAAAATATTAATTAATACTCAAATAATTGCATGTTTTAATATTTCATTTTAAACAATTGTTTTGCTGTTTATGTTTCAATCAATTACAGTTGAATCTTTATTTGATAAGTTAACTTAGTTAATGTTCATTCTCAATAAGTCAATCAGATATCTTACACGTCTTCCAGCATAGAAGATTCTATTTTGAGGACGCCTCGACCTCTCATATCGATAATTACTTCCCGCTTTGGTGACATCGAAGACTAGTAGTCTGATTTTTAGACAGGAACTCTGTGTATCTGTGACTGCAAGGCCAATTGCTAGATTAACTACTAATTAGCTATCCCATTTGCCTTTACATACAAATTGGTCAGATTCTTCTAAAGCAGGTCTCTAAGAAATTTATTGGTTTATTGATTTTGAATTTTATTCCTATTTTCGGTTATATTCAATAAGGAAAAACTTAAATTTTCTTTGCGCATCTTTTTTCTTTTTTAACTCAAGAATGTATAATTAGGCAATGACACTTCAGTAGGATGATTTGATTTGTTTTTAAGATTCGGGAAATATCTTTATTTCTAATTCTGCACTTTAATACTCTTGCATTCTACCTTTATCTCTTTCTCTTGGTCTTCTGAGCAAAAGCTTATGACTTTGTCATTGAGACGCCTCATTCTTCTTTTGCTATAATCTGGAATCACTGCTTTATTAATTGATTTTTCTGAGTCCAAATATTAATCCTGAACAAATTATTATTGCATATTAGTAGAGGTAGCTGATAATCCATTTCCACTAGCATTTGGCAATTTGATACTACTATAACTTTTATGCTTATCAGGTATATCCTTGGCCTGCCCAAGCCACTGTCGCTTTTGATATCTCAGATTTAACAAAGTTCTTTCCTTTTTCTAATTAAATATGACTTGTTTCATTCGAGAATGAGCCATCTACTGCAACCCCGTTCCTCCACTCATACCACTATTATAAGAAAAGTCGTTTCTTGATTTAATGAAACTATTTATTGGGGAACTCATTCCACTCAAATTAGGTGAGCGTCTCATGAAGAAATTTTCTGGTCCCGTTTCATTTTCAAATATAAGTTTTGACTGTGAGAAAAACTATCCAAGATTCGGGGGTTTGATGTTATTTGAATATTAGCTTTCACTTTTTTATTAGAACTCATCATTCTTTTGAGATCCACTGAACGATCAAACTAGACCATCCTATTGGGAGAAGTCATGAAATATCTATGGATTTTCTTCAAAAAAGTTTTTAACTCTGCGTTTTTTCTAGTGAGAGAGTATAGGGGAAGTGGGTTAGGTCGGATGAATGATTTTTCTATTTGTTTTGTTAGAAAAATTTTAGATGTTCTTATCATTAAACATGTTAGTAGGCTATGGAATTATTATTTATATTTAAAAATTCATGACTTTTTGTTATGTTAATGATTTTCAATATCATTCGTTGCGGGGTTTTGGGGTTTTGGGGTTTTGGGG